AGAACTAATCTATCTATTGACTAAATCAAACCTTATGAATAGTACATGAGAATTAAGTTACATAACATTGATTCAACTAATTTACAAATAATTTTTTTTTAATTTTTAAAATTTACCAGATAAAGTAAATCAAAACAAAGAACAAAGATTATTTTGATGAATCTATGAACAAAAATAAACAGTTGGTATTTGTTAGCAACAAAGGAAACAAGGCAACACAACACAACACGTATCACATGACAATAGTGGAAGAAACAGAAAGGAAAACAAATGGTTCTCTTCAAGTAAACAAAAAAAGGCAGTCAGATGACCGTTAATATTTATTTAAGTGTTTTTCTATTAATACATGGTATGTAGTTATGTTTTTACCAGTTATATTTTGGAAAACCGAATTGTATTATATAACAGATTTATATGGTATGTCCAATAAATAAACAAACTAAACTATATACTGAGGTAATCGGTGAATAACTGTCAAGGATATTTTTCATAAAAATGTGTTCAGAGATTTGTTGTACGAAGATAAGAAAATATTGAAGATGATTTCAGATTCACTTTCAGAGTCAGCAACGTTATCGCTGAGTAGTGACCAATGTCATATTTATATAGTCATATTAGCACTATATTATCATTAACAAGCCAATCAGATTTCAAGTTGTGGTCATCGGATCGTTGTACATAATTTAGATAGTCAATGATCAGTAGTTTATTTCTTCTCAAAAGCTAACCAAATTCCAGTTGAAAAAGAAGTGGGGAAGTATATGATGGAGGTGGATAGGACACAGATCGTAAAAATCATCAATCTGCATCGCGAGACAAGCCAAACATGGAATCAGGAAGGGAAAAGGAAAAGAGGAAGATCCAAGAATACATTGTATTGGGAAGTTGAGGAAGACATAAAAACAATAAATAACAACTGGAAACAACTAGAAAAGACAGCTCAGAACAGAGTTGGTTAGCGAATTCTGGTCGGTAGTCTATGCTCATGTGAACTGTAGCGAATCGACTGACAAATAAAATACACACAAAATTTCAAGGAAACTTAATGACTCAGTTTTCAGCATATACACATATGGAATCAATATTTGTTTCCGAGATATCGTGAATATTTAATGATGAAAACTGAAGCGAAACAGAGGAAAACACATAGGCACTATAAGAGTGTAGAATACACAACAATAAACTTATTATTTAACCATATGCACACTAATCACTTGTAATTCAAAGCAGACAAGTATCACACACACACACACATACATACATACACAACCAAACAAATAATTACCCACCTACTTACCTAAAAATTCTACCTTAAATAAAAGTGGTTCTCATGATGAAAGTGCAAAATGGTTACACTTCAATTAATTTAATTATTGATGAATATTTGATAAAAAAGAATTGAAAAATACTGATTGTATAGATATTCCCATTATGAAATAACCTTTTCTTTCAGCCTATTTGTATTTGTATGTAAGAGAGGAAGAATTAGACATGTAACTGGATACACATGAATGGAAGGATTTAAAATCTACTATTTAGAATATATTATGATGTATTGAAGAAATATTTATAATAACGACAATAATAATAATAGTCCATCGTAAGATAGAAATTCATTACGGTTAAAGTGAATAATTAACTGTTTACTGAGTAGGAGCTAATATCATAGTTGTCAAATCTTCCTCAATGCTGATTGAATAAATGTGGGTCAAGCTGTAATCTAACTACTAATCTAAATGATGAGTCGACATCAGATGCACTATGATTTTATGTTAGGTGATTGGAAGTAATCAATAGTATAACCTGTTTAACCTATGTTTTGTGCTACCTCATACTCGACAGTAAATTGTACCTGTAATCTTAATCGGATTGGTAGTCCGTGACAGATTCTCTTACACGTCATTCAGGTTCAGAGTCAGTCACATTACCACTGATTCTGTATCAATGAAGTAAGACGTCTACCAGCATTCATCACCACTCGTTTGACAGAAGAAGAAGAAGAAGAAGAAGAAGAAGAAGAAGAAGAAGAAGAAGAAGAAGAAGGAAGTCAACAGAACGAGTTACTCACATCAACCAACTCACCAAATCTCTGCCAATCAACACCAATCACACAATTGACCATATTTCAACAACAATTATGGTCGATAGATAGACAAACAAATAGATTAACGGACAAACAACTTGTCACGGGATAGTGCCAACACATCAAATTTCCTGTTCACATTCACTTTCAACTGTAATTCATACGGAAGACAAAGAATGATTGATCAGTTCACCAATGAACACCAAATCTCCTTTGTAAACAAACAACAAAAATAGGAGTGGATTGCCTAGTACTTTTATCAGTTTATTCTCGAATGTCTATAACAAGGACAACAACAACAAGTCATGTGATTAGTAAAAAATCATCAACACTAACAATAACAAAGACAGTGCCAATAATAATAATAATAGTAATAATAATAATAATAATAATAAGGAGAAGAAGAAGAAGAAGAAGAAGAAGAAGAAGAAGAAGAAGAAGAAGAGGAAGAAGAAGAATAGTAACGATAACAACAGCTACTGTAGTGGAAGTGTTCGTAGTAAATCTACCGATTAGTTCCAAGTTATTATCCTCCATCCATTAATCATTCAAATAATAAATTTAACATGATTTGGTTTATTCTCTCCAAAGACAAATAAAGCACAGTCAACTTATGATTTTCATTTTCATGTCAATTTTGCATCGGTTATGTTGTTTTATCGGCTGTTCACTTTTTCTCCATCTCTCTCTCTCTCTCACACACACACAACTATTTACATCCACTTTTATACAACTATTCTCTCTCTCGTTCGCTCTCACACACACAATCTCTCATCATCTAACTCCCACATTCTCTCTCCCTTTCTCCAGTGCTTCTCTCTCTTCAGTCATGCTGAGAAACAGGAACGATGAGTTAGTCACTCAAGTAACTCAACTACAAGTAGACGAAATGGAAAGATGACAATGTGATTAGACATCCATGAAGAAATTCGTTAGTCTGCTCACTAGATCATTCAAATTCAACATTTAGTTGTGAGTTGAATCGAGAGACGATCAGTTGCATAGCTGATGATTATGATAGTGTTTTCAATCGATACATTTGAAATACGTAAATTTGAACAAACCGAAGTATTCATGAAATAGTATTATCTCTTCCACCTCCTTTCAATCATCAATCCTATTACCTGTTCCACCTAAATGTTTGGCAATGGAGGATGATGGATGCTTATAACTTACTCTTATTGGGACATTGGATTTTATGTGATTTCGTATCATCGTTCATATTTAACAAGTTGGGACAACAATGAAAGTGAAATAAGCTAGTAGAAATTACTTCCTTACTTACTTACGCCTGTTACTCCCAATGGAGCATAGGCCGCCGACCATCATTCTCCAACTCACTCTGTCCTAGGCCTTCGTTTGTAGTTCCATCCAATTCCCGTTCATTTCTCTCATGTCTATCTCCATTTCCCGGCGTAATGTGTTCTTTGGTCTTCCTCTTCTCCTTTGGCATTCAGGATTCCATGTGAGAGCTTGTCTTGTGACACAGTTGGATGCTTTCCTCAATGTGTGTCCCATTCACTTCTATCACTTCTACTTGATTTCTTCGTCCGCTGGGATCTGGTTTGTTCTTCCCCACAGTAGGTTGTTTCTAATAGTGTTCGGCCAACGGATCCGAAGTATTTTGCGTAGACAACTGTTGATGTACAACACTTGTATCTTCTGGATGATGGCTTTCGTAGTTCTCCAGGTTTCTGCCCCATACAGTAGAACTGTCTTGACATTTGTATTGAAAATCCTGACTTTGGTGTTGGTTGACAGTTGTTTTGAATTCCAGATGTCCTTCAGTTGTAAATATACTGCTCTCGCTTTACCGATCCCCATTTTCACATCTGCATCACATCCACCATGTTCATCAATGATGCTGACCAAATATGTAAAGATATTTACATCTTCAAAATCTTCTCCGTCAATTGTGATTGGATTGGTGCATACTGTGTTGTATCGGAGAGTCATGCTTTTCCCTTTTTTGTGTTGAAACCTACTGCTGCTGAGGCTGCTGCTTTACTGCTCGACTTCCGCTGCGTTTGTTGTTGTGTGTGCGATGGAAGAGTCAGATCATCTGCAAAGTCTAGATCGTCCAACTGTATCCTAGATGTCCACTGTATCCCATGCTTCCCTTCAGATGTTGACGTCTTCATGAACCAGTCGATTACCAGTAGAAAGATAAAAATGAGAGTAAGCAACATATATTCGTTCCTAAGGTTTTCAGGAAACCTGCACAGTAGAACTATACAGCGACCTGAACACCAGAAATAAGACGCAAAATATGAGAGAGACACTTTACTTCAAGGTTCGTTGTTGTATAGAAAGCTTGGGTATTTATGGATGTTAACGTTTGTTAAATTAACATCATATTTCCGCCAATTCGTTAACGACATATTATGCTACTCACCAATAGTAGCACGCAACATTGGAATTCTAGAATGCTCTATCGTGGTCTGATTGGAAAGGACTCTTCGGCGCCTTTTAGGCCAATGGAGGCTCCGTTGAGGTTCTCCGAAAGCCGACCCAACACTTCCATACTGTTGTTCTGTCCACGCTATAAAAAGCTTTTTCGTAGTCAATGAAGTTGATGTACAGTAGAAATTGGATAGTATAAAATAGTTATTCCGTTCTGGAATTCGAATCTTCATCGGTGAAGAAATATCCAAACCATGGTCATTAGGTCTCAATATCAGTGCCTGATCTTCCTACAATCAACTTCTCTTCCAATGATTTATATTTCTAGTGTGATTCATGTTGTGATGATAATGCGCGACCATCATTCATAGTGATTGTTAACACTTAGGTGGAGCTTCAATCGGTTGGAATCCACCAGTAAGAAGTAATAATGATCACAATTTCAAAAGTAAAACACCTACATGTTCTTGAATATTTTCCGTTGTAAAACGGTCTCAATTAATCTCCTACTTACCATTTCTCGCATTTCATATTAGATAAGTAAATCTATCAGCTAATCAATCATGATTGCTCTAATTTACACATCTATGTAAATTGCAATGACGATGAGTAGTAGGTAAATTTTCAAATAACTGTATTTGTGTTTGTCCACAGAATGACTTTTGGTGATTTCAAATCTGTAGACTTTGTATCAAAATGTAAAGTTGTTGAATGCATAGATTAATTGAAAACGAGTTTAGATATAATCAAAATGTACATGTACATGTATATCGACAATTTCACAGGTGGACATTGCAAATCCACTCGATCAGTGAATGCCACTTCGTGAGTACACGTGAACGAATTCAATGTTTGTATTTGTCAAGCACATCTAAAACTGAAGTACACCTAACCGATTAACTGTTTGTCTCATTGAGTGACTGGCTAACTAACTCATTGTCCGACTGTCTTACTGACTGACTGACTGACCGGTTGATTACATACACTAGCAAGTTCGAATAGTAACATCATCATCATGATCATAGTTATTGTCTACATTTGTCAGTGTTCGTAAGTACATCATTCAAAATAATGATTTTGTCCAATTCAACTGGTGTATTGATTTGTAACATTTGACTCAATGTGACATGTGTAGATAGAGAGTATGCACATATTGCTGATCGAAACGGTTATGAACATATTCAACCACAAAGAGTTTAGTGAGGTAGGGAGTGAAAGAACAGCATCAGAGATATTAAACTAGTGAGTTTTATACTCAACCAATATCACACTCCTATTTCCAGTTTAGTAAGATATTTGTTTCTCCCAATGATCACCAACTTCCAGTATACATTCATCTGATAATACAGTTGTCACAAACATCAAGATCAACCAGTGGTTAATGTCTACTCTACTAATCAGAGGGATGATCCCGATAAGCATGACAATTCGCTATCATATACACCTCACACATCCAACTCACTATGTCATACGACATCTGGAGAACGCATACGAGTAGTTGATCCATGTGATCCCTTCAGCAATCATAACTGCAAAATATTCATAATCACTTGCAATATTCGACTAACACACAGTGACAAATGTGGATGAATAAATGTGAAACATTCAACACTTTCAAGTGCAATACTAATCATTCATGAGTAATTCGTGATTATCAGCCATGTCCACCATTGATTAAATGAATACGAATGTTGAGATGCCTTCAACATGTCATAGATAACTTCGTAAAACGAACTGACTCGGCGTCTCGACTCATTTTATACATATACACTACCACTCGACGTGGCAGCGTCCAAATATTCCAAAGTGACAGAATATCATTCGTCAAGTCACTCATCTTTGTAATTCCTCTATTCTAAAGAAAATACTGTTTACCTTAAATCGAATCATCATTTTACAAATGTCAAATAAAATTATTCAATTCATATCAAATGATATCTATGTACAGTTTCAGCATGAATCATCCATTTCTTCTACACCAATTCTGTCTCTTCATCAATCAACAAATCACAATCGACTATACTCATTATACTACTTATTACGACCCAATCAGTAGCAAATATTCATTCATATTTCTATCGAATTTCCTACAAATCCCACTCATCCACTCACACACACATACATGTGTACATATCTGCAAACATACCTAAACAAACAATCATTGCATTGTACTTTTCCTTTACATTCCATTCCATTCTATGTGATGGATGTGAATTCCTAATCAATACTCACCTACCACTCGTAAAATAATCACTTACCAATTCCACTTATTTTGTGATATTATTACTTGTCTGACAGAGTAGTGTGGTGAAATACAAATATTTGTATGTATTCTAATATTTCAAAGTATGTGGTGAAGGTGTTCCAAATAATTGAACATAATTGTCTCTCAATAATTGATTGATAATTTGGTGAGCTTCAAACGTTCCACCGAAGATCTCCAACGCCATTTGATAGTGTTATTTCAATGTGCAATTCAGCTCTTCATCTACCTCAATATTCTTGTCTTGATTTCCAACCCTAACATACCAAAGACAATGAGATGATCACGCGACAACCGTCAATTGACTACAATTTATTTTATTGCTTGTCACTGATCCACCAGCCGTTTCTCTCAACATTTCATGAAAGCTTCCTTCATAACAACAGGAATAATTTATTATTATTAATAATATTATAATTATTATTAATGTGACTGATTCACATAGTATGTTCATAGCTGTTGAGTTAAAGCAGTGGTTGCAAGTTGTATACTTGTGATGATTTCTGTTTACGTGATTTACATACTCACTGAGTTTTGCATTTTATCAAAGACGTTTTAACATCATATCTGTCATCTGATTGTAGTCTAAACTATATATGACTACCCGTGTTTGATTATGCTTACAGAATCTGTGAGAGATCAAATTTCATGAGGTCATTTGTCCGTCAATTAGACGTATTCAACATTTCTCACACTCACTACGTTATAAACACAGCCTCTTCCACTCTCATAAATAATGCCATCATGAAAGTGGCAGAGTCGATAACTAGTGTAATGAAGTGTGGCAACTTCCACCGTTGAGCTGCCTGTCAAATATTGCAACGGTCTTCATTTCTACCACATACCTCAATTCAGATTAGCCATTTGCAAACACATCATGTACGGTAATGCATTCGCACGTTTGCTCAATTCCAATTGAACTCTATTGCTTAGCAGTACATACATAAGCGTTAAGTCTACCTGTAGTCACATTGTTTAATCCAAAAATCCACGTGTTATACTACTGATATTTATTTCGTTTTTAGCGACGAAGAATGCATTTTACAAACAAAATACAAGATAATTTACAACACCTCATCACTCAACAAAAATCACCTACCATCCTACGATAAACCGTAATTCACTACAAAACACAAAACTAAACAACACTAAACTACACTGAACATCATCATCATCATCATCATCATCATCATCATCATCATCATCATCATTATCATCATTATGTTTGTATTTGAATAGCTGGATTGATTAGTCGATCTAAACTAAACCGCCATTGGACACCTGCAAGCACTCGACGGTCATTGTTATTCATGATTCATTCTATGGTGCCTTATTTTCTTAAATCATTTTTATCAATTCATGACATTCAGTGAACATGAATTGACATTCTATTACATTGTGATATTATTATTAGTCCATTATAGTATTACTCACTATTGTATATCTTCTCCATACTTATTGCACAAACTATGTAGTGAGTTATTGAGGGAACATGATCTCATATTATGTATCACATACGGCTGAGACCAACGCAATTCTTATATCCATTGCAAAAATAATATCACCTTACAATGACTAGTTATCCTATACATTTACATCATCAAATGATCTTGGTCATTGAACCAGTGAATCATACTAGAGAACTTCATGTCTCCTGATGAGCACTCAGCTCCTTGTGTACATATTTGACAACCCACATCTGACATTTCTAACCTTAATCAATTAACTATATTCACTAGATGTATTTCAATCTGATTAGTCGAAAACTATCTCATACTCCATCAAATCATACTCCACTCCTCACTGATTCTTACTAAATTCTCCATGATTACCTCAGAAATTGTCAAGTGGTGAGTACATTATTATTACAATTACTTCAGTGTGAGTTGTCTGTCAAAACTGATCACCTCCAAATATTCCGGAAAATTTCAATTCAATATCAAACACTCATTCCTCGTTCTGCATTACCAATTAAACATTGAAATAAAGTTAGAATTATGTCAGTCAGTTTTCTAATCTTCATCAGTCGAAATGAATGAACATTGTGTATTTCAATTCATAATGGTAGCTAGATCGAACACCGCTAAACAATGATCGTTTCAATATCTCTCTCATTACATGTTTTAAAACGAGAATGATCATCTTCACTATCAACTCGCAGTAGATGACACACTCAATCTCATTCTCATCATTAATGAATATCGTTAGAATGGGATAGGAGTTGGTGAAGAGTATTGAATATTACGGTTTCATATCACAGACTATTATACATCATACTAGACAGCTGTTGTTTTATCTCAGTGTGTAACTACTCAACTGTGCTCATTCACAATACCATGAATACCATCACACCTACAACTTTCATTCAGTTTGCCAATTTTCATCTGGTAATTCAATAATCAACTGCTCGCTCGTCTGTCAACATGTCACTGTTGTATCGATCTAATATCTTGCCAAAACAACACTAATCTCACATCTTTCACAATGCATATGGACAAATGTGTATTCAGTAGAAAAAAAATGTGACTGTTTGTGTGTGCGTGCGTGTTTGTCCCTACTCAGGAATTCATTTAGAATGAATTCAGGTTATACATTCAATCCAACAGCTCCCTGTCTTCTTTATTCCAGAGAATAAAAAGAATTCGATCACATGAAATGTTCCAATCAATCTTCATTAATTTAATATTAGCAATTATGTACAAATCCATAAATATAAGTCAGAAAAAAGAGGTTAACTGTTTAAGGAAGAAGAATGAAACCACCAACATATTCATTGTATGTGTAGTACAGGTAGATAAATCATTGAGCAAGACAATATAGGGGAAGAATTGAGTGGTGGGGAAATAGAGGTGATTGTGATTAGCTTACTTGTCCAATGAATGTATACAACCAATGTTGATTATGTAATGTTTAAAAGAGAAGAATGTGCGAAACAGTATGAACAGAATGAACGAAAGAAAGAAGAATAAACATTGATATATAGATTCATGTAATTGAGAGTTTATGTGGTTGTCGTTTTTTAGCGAGTTTATTTTCTACGGGATAGGGTCGCTAACCCCATGCCCAACCCTCATCCTTTATCCGCAATTGGGACATGCAGTAGCCCACTGAGGGACTCAAGACTGAGTCCTGTTCAACAGGGTATTATTAAACGGGATGAAGGATTTTGTAGACGCCCACATTTGAGATCAACAGGCTGAATTCCGTAAGGATAGATCGTGTACAGACCAAATCACAACTCTACGGATCATTGTGGAACAATC